TGGCTTGGTTCTCTTCAGCTGCTTCGGTTTGGTTGCTTTGGAGGCCTCTGGAGGTGAAGAAAGCTCATCCACTGCGGGTGGTGGATTGTTTGGCTTGGTTCTCTTCAGCTGCTTCGGCTTGGTCGCTTTGGAGGCCTCTGGAGGTGAAGAAAGCTCATCATCCACTGCGGGTGGTGGATTGTTTGGCTTGGTTCTCTTCGGCTGCTTCGGTTTGGACGAATTGGAGGCCTCTGGCTCACCCTTGTCAGGAGCAGACTCCTTTCCTTGACTCGATCTTTGCCTCTTGGGTTTGGGCGGGTCAGAGGTTTCTGATGGTTTCCTGGGCGGCTGAGGCTGAAGTGATGTCACCACAGGACCAATGTCGTTCAAGGTCAAGATCGTTGTGGTCTTGCTCTGCGACTGGGGCTGGCTGCCGTGTTTCTGATCAGCTGTCTCAGTTGGCGACTTTGTTGTTCCACAGTCAGGCTGTGAGTCATGGTCGATTTGTGTCTCCACTGTTTCCATCATTGTTCCATCACATTCATTTTCATACTCATCATTGATGGTGATAGTGGGCGTAGGCACTGGCGTAGGCTCTGTAGGCATAGGTCTAGACAGCATCTGGTCAACTTCAGCCAGGAGGGCTGCCTCAGACTCGGGGTTGTCCTTCATCTCCGAGCGGGTGATAGCATCGTCCAACCTATCCAAGCAGCTATTCAAAGTAACCAATAGGGCAGCAGGGGAAGGCGCAGGTGAGTCAGCTCCAGGTTGCTGACCCAGCACAAGAGTCTCCTGGCCAAGCTCGGCTGATTATTTGGGAAAGTGCACCGTTCTACATGAAGAAAGTGCACCAAGCTCTATATGAAGAAAGATAGAAGCGACCTACTTCACTGGTTGACCGCACAATGCTTGAAGCCAATGTGGTTGCCTTGATGGCTGATTTGGGTTGTGGTGCCTGAGAGTCTGGTCCACCCTCATGTTCCAATTCCTAGGCGACACGTACAGTTGAATGAGCCAAGAGGATGTCATAATTCGCGAATTTGAGCTGAGGAGCAGCATCATGGCGCTTTGGCAACAATGGCTCCGTGGAACTTGCCTGCGCTCCGAATACACTGGATTTGCAACTCGGCTAGAGCCTTACTGTATTTACAATGCACGGGCCAATCGGCCTCAGCATGTTCCCAGAAGAGGTAGTCATCGACAGGTTGGCTGTCAAAAAGAAGATGGTGATCCATTCTGCGCAATGCATCCCCTGAACCAGAACCAGACTGGGAATCCTGGGTGGTCTCCGTCCTGAGCACACAAGCCCAATGACAGGTCCCATTTGTTCGAACTAATCGAGTAGGAATAGTTTAATATAAAGACAGAACATGACAGAACCCTCCAAAACATGAATATCAAGTGAGCTGTGTAAATCCAAAGAGTGAAAGGGACCGTGGGTGTTCCCAAGTAGGCTGACAAACAGTGCACCGCAACTAAGCACAAACCACAAAGCAGCTGGACCGTTGCTGCTTTGGGACTTCTTCATGGTTTCATCAATCTTCCCATCTCCCTCAATCAAGTGCTCAAAGGGCAGCTTCTCCTCCGATGATTTAAGGGAAGGAAGGGTGGGCATTTTGGGGCACAGCTACTATCACAGGCCAACAACCAAACTGACTACTATAGTCTCCTTCCGGGTTCCACGCGGCCTTCCGCGTTGCTTTGCGGTCGCCGGTTTTTTTGCTGTTTTCTTGTTGGTGCCTTGGTGACCCTTCCCCTGAGGTTCATCACCTGAAGCACACGCTCCATCACCATCATCGTCATCTTCATCAGAAGAAGAACCCTTTATCGGGACATGATCTGTGTTTGGTGTGTCTTCGTCTTCTTCTTTGTCTTCTTTCTTTGTCTTTGGATTCTTGCTCGGTCGCTTCATTGGTTTTGCCTCTTCCGAGCCATTCTTTTCCCCAGATGACTCTTCAGAAGCAGCAAACCGTGGAGGAAGGGCATCACGATCGCCTTAAAATCGGACATTTGCATGGCGGCTGGCACAACCTTGTGCCAGCACAGTTGTTTCAAACCGGTTTCTCTCTCTACCAAAGAACGACGGACTGCCTGGCATGTTTGCCAAGACACTGGACTCGCTCCCAGTCGGCTTAGGCTTTACCGCCGCCGCTGCAGCCGATGGTGGTGGCTCAGATCTCGTGCGCGGCGTCGGTGTTCGCGTGACCCTGCCCGACCCTGGCCCGACGAAATTAGCCAAGTTGAAAGCCTTAGTGGGCACCAGTCATTCTCCAATCTGAAAGATATGTGATGGACCGATGGACCCAACATGAAACAAGCTATAGTTGCGTTTTGCCGGTTACCGCACCAAGAAACAGGCACTGAAAGAACAGCTGTAAGAGGGACTTCTTGGACATCATCACTCTCTGGCGTACGGCTCCGCTTGCTATGGCTCATAGTGGTCTAAACTCTAAACACACCTGCACACAGACTGGACTGACACACGTTTCTACCCTTCAGTTCAAACGGCGGGCGATGTGGGCACTTGAATGTATTCCAAGACTCCGGAAAACAAGCAGTCTAGAAAACAGTAAAGTTATTCGCTCTAAGCGAAGGTGAGTGTTCTCCTGTTTGAGAAGCTCCCGCTACTCTTTTTCAAGCTGCTGCCTCCATGTAAGTTCCAGAAAGTTCTCCAGGGCAGATTTGTGTGCCGCTAAAGAATGTCGTTGCCAAAACGTTCCCCCGACACATAGTGGCATCAAAGCATCTCTGCAAAGAAACAGAAGACATGGACTTGACCTCATTTGACTTGGCGCTGTGTTAAACATTTGCCAACATTTTACAATTTTGCATGTTGAGGTCTCCATGACCGAGTCCCCAAACAGCACATAAGGCACCCGAGGGCCCCATAAAGTAAAATTGACATGACATCTATTTACTGTTATTGTTGTGGCGCTGCGTTTATGAATGTTGGGGAGTAATTTTTAAATAGAAGAAACCCTGCATCAGGAGTACCCGGCAAAAATAACCTTGGTAGTACCGTGGGCCAGTTGCCTAATGGGTAAGGCATTGTCTTCAGCCTTCCAAGTACATCCTGAGTCTCCGGGTGTACTGGAAGGCTGAAGACAAGGATGGAGGTTTGAGCACCCCTGGTCCATTCTAGTATGTTCTTCAACAGTATTAAAAAATTAGAGACTAACTTTTGATGCTTTTGAATTGGCAAGGGCTTAAGGACAGCGCCAAATTATTTGCAGTGACCTGAGCAAACTTAGGAGACTAAGCCACTATGTGCATCCCGCTGGTGCGATGCTGGAAATTGCTGGTAGCCTTTCTCTTTTTGCCGCTGGCAGGAATGGGGCTTGTTGGTGGGTGAAATCGGTTGCAGTGGGAAGGCGGCCAGCATAGCCAAGGATCAGAACAGTCAGAGTAAGTTGTTCCCCGGATTAGATCAAATGTGCAAACAACAGTAAGTCTAAGTATTGTTGCTGGCAAGTTGATGACAAATGGCTACCAGCACATCAGCACGGCTGCGAACGCAAAACCTTCACCCATGATCAAATGAATGGGTGATCAGAGATACCCGGGCACAGCCATCCAGTATATGGTATAGGAGGTTCAAACGAAGCAGATTATGAAACTCTAAACGTTCAACTGTGTTAATCTGTTACCAAATTCGTGCG